TCTACACTTAGTGAAATTAGAAGTTGAGGAAAAGACAGATCATGTTTAACACACAAGACAAGCAAAAGCCAAGTGTTCCCAAAGGAAACTGAATTTGCTTAACTACTAGCAGTGCAACCGTTTGTACAAAGGGTTCTGCTCCCCAAAGTACAACACTGAGGAGTTTTCAGAATACTCAAGACACAGAGGAGATTGAAAAACAAAGTAAGGAAAGAAAAGCTTTTGAAGGTTTTCATAGGAATTTCCTTTGAGGCCAGACTGAAATCTGTGATGAAAGGAAAGATGTAGTAGCACACCCTTATAAAATAAACAAAAGAACTCCTCCCCCAACCAATGGCAAACTTACCATATTAAAATCTAAAAGATGTTCATCATCATTGGATATTTCCTTTACATCTGCAAATTCTCCTACACCATTCTCTCCCTTGGCATTTGTATAACACTCTTACATTGTGTTTGTGGGGGTGTTTCAGAAGAAAAAGGAAGAAAAAAACAGAATTGAAGAACACTGTTATTTACATTGAGCCAATACTCCTAGAGAAGTATTTTTGAAATTCACACTTTAAGCCATGTAAACTCTGCTTGTGGGGGATTTTATAGTCTGACAACCTTAAAAAGATAAGCACAATACCTTATGGAACCTTCAAAAAATCTTACCTGGATAACCATATAATTAAAAAAAAGAAGCTACTTAGTTGATGAAAACATCTAAAACAGTAAGGGACAAAGAACAAGAATTACTTTTTTTATTATAAATGCTTCAGTACATTTTTCAGCTCTGATACTGCACGGTGTTCAGACCAGTCTTATTTCTATACTCATACAAAATATACTACAATACAGACTGATCCCAACTGAAGCTCAAAAAAAAAAAAAAGTTGATGTGAATGGCTGCGATTTCTATTTACTAGAGAACTTCCATATATAATATCAACATATATCATACAGATATATATGGATCACATGCATCAATATTCATAATTTTAAAATACCCATACAGAAAACTGGATACAGCTAAAGATTTGTGAAAGGATAACATTAGCTCTGAGGATAAAGCTCTGGTTTTGTTAAACTTAGCCTAAAAGAGGAAATCCTGGAACTATTCTGCTTCACAGAAATTCAGCCACTGTACCAAAGCAGGTTCTGGACTTCATAGTATTTTATACTGTATATTGTCTTCCTCTGATGAAATAAGGTGGTGAAACACTTGCATAGTTATGGAGGTTCACCAGCAGATGTCAGCAAAAAGATAACTCAAGTCACTCACAGGAGTTCAAGGAGTTCAAAAGATGTACTCAAGTGCATGTCACTGCATTTGCTATTAGACCAATAATACCTCTGCAATTATCACCATGAAAAAAAAAAAACCAACAAAAAAAAAAAACACCCCACAACTTTGCAAAAGGACACTAAATATATTTACTTTGTAAGTACTTCTACTAATATGGGAAGTTCTGTGACCAGTCCAGGAGGCAAATCAAGAGTCCAGCAGACTTCAACATCATACTCTCTCACTGTGCAAATGCACTTCCATAGTTGGGAGTGAAGTAAGTTGTTCTTGCAAGTAACCCAAACTGTGGTAAATAGCAAAGTAAGGGCATTTAGGCACCAAGAACATAGTTTAGTTTGTTGCACTTTAAAGTGCCCTCCAAAAATAATTCAGTAATAATTACTAACTAACCTTCTTCCAGATTATTTAGGAACCAAGTCTCTGATCAAAAGTTCATGGCACTGAGCCTCTGCCAACAGAAAGCATCAGACAGCCTGTCAATTTGGTATACAGAAAGTTCTTAATTAGCTTCTTGCCTTCTCCCCAGAAAAGGTAAATTGTTATGGAGTAAAAAAAAAGCTGTCTGGATTCTTGCCTGTCCACTGAAAACCTGGGCCTGGGCCAGCTGTCAGATGCTACAAATTCTTGGGAAGCAACAGAAAGTGCTGGAAGCACACCTGCTTCCGCCTGCAAGCAGCCTGCCTACCAGCACTGTGTGTACTCGCTGTATGAGACAGAAAAACTCTGTAGAGTGTCACTGAGAGTGGCCAAGAGGCAAATCCCTCTCCTTCCCAGCTTGAGAGAAATTCCACACATTCACTGAATAGCTGGCATGTTATTTATGCAAACCCATAAAAGGTAATTATCATGTTTTCACATTCGTACAAAATTAGCTACCTAGTAAGTATTATTCAGGTTGAAACGTATTTAAAAATGTAAATAAGTATTTTCAGAGTCAGAGGTTGATATTCTACTTACTTAATTCCAAAGCCTGGAATTAAGTAAATTTGCATAAATATTATTTTAAAAGTACTTTCAATTTAAAACTCTTAAGAAGCATGCTAGAGATGACAAATGCAACTGAAGCATCCCAATTCTCTCACAGATAAGAGAATTTATTATGGCTTCTTACCTTCACACTGTGATGCAGGAAAAAGGGGAGAATAGAGCGCCTTTTCCCACCAGCATTGCTTTTCCTGGCTGCCACTCATTCTCTGTAGGTTAGTATTTAATATAGGAAAGTGTTTAGACAATAATCATGCTTCATTATGCCATAAATAATATACTTACATGTAAAGGAGGAAACTCTGGTATTACAACCGATTTGCTAGATCTTATAGGTCACACTGTTCAATTTCTAATACTAATGGGAGGACTGTCAAACTACAATAGAATACCCATTATCTGAACTCTTATAATCAATATAAACTCCATACAGGGGCGCATACTTTGTTGATATAAAGTTGTACAAATCCAGAAAAAAAGACAAGTTCCAGCCCTACACTTTAAGTACAAAACAGAAGAGAACAGATGGCTACCCAAGAGATTAAAATACAGTGAAACATTAGTCAACATGACAAATAGTTCAGTGTAAAACAAAGCAGAAAAGAAAGCAAACATAAAGTGGCAAAATTTAATGCGCAAACATAAAGTGGCAAAATTTAATGCTTGAAGTACCATCAGTGCAATAACATAAAATTAAACTACAGAACTAATGTATCAACGTGAAGAAAAATTATGAGGATGATTAATAATTTGTCTTTTTGCTAAAAATCATCTCAAATCTACTTACTAAAGATGCCTAAATCCTTATGAAATGAATGGATGTGGCTGAAATACCAAAGGCTTGTCACAACAGACATATCCCTAGTTTTATAATTGCACCTGTGGTAATCCCATTAACCTTCAAAAGATGATGCCAGCTTGTAACATCCCTTATAGATATCAGACAGAATGATTTAAAAACACAGTACAACTAGCTACTAAAAACCAGTAACAAATGAGCTTCAACACTGAGCTTCTACCCAGCCTCCTCCTCTGTAAACCTGAGAACATTTAAGCATGGAAAATTAACCAAACCTCCTTTTGTTCTTCCTTAAGTTACTTCAGAACTACAAACCTATAGAACCTAAACTTACAAGTGCTTATTGCTTAATAAAGAGGATCCCCTCTCAAACCAAACGAGCAACTCAAGAGAGCTGTATTCAGAAGCATGTACCAGATTAAACTTTTTTTCTCATGAAATTCTTCTATAACGAATATTGAAGTTGTCCATTCTGGTTTCCTCTCCAAACACTGAGTAACAGTCCTTTTGGAACCGCCTTCCAAAAGTTCAAACCCCAACAGGAGGGGAGGGAGGGAGGGGCTTAAGAGTATTTGAAGCAAGACTCAGTAAGAAACACATGCATTTACAAATAAATTAATGTAACTGAACATCTAACTACAAAACTGCTGGGTTTTTCTTTGAGTTTCTCTTTTTTTTTTTTTTTTTTTTTTTTTTTTCTCCCTCTCTTGCCAGCTCTTCCTAAAGGAGTTACACACTTACATTGCATTACTCCAGTCAACCTCACCAAATCTAATGGGCAATTAAATCGTGAGATCCACAAACATTTTTTGCCAATAAAATTTCCTGATCCCCAAGTGCACTGTCCTAGGCATGTTCAGACCTTAAAAGTTTGGCGCCAATCCCAACAAAACCCACAAGTCCCTTTATCTATCTCAAGAACTCAATAGGATAAGCATTCTTAGGATACACTTACTAGATCAGAGCCCATATAAAATTTGTTGATAAGAGATTCAGCATTGTTACAGAGAACATTAAGATTGTATACTTACCCACAACTCAACAGCTAAATGGCAAGAGCATTTACTTGGAGGAAAAAGGTCTGTACTTCAGAGGGCATTTTTTTGTGGGGTTTTTTGTTGTTTGGGGTGGATCAGTGGAGTTTTGGGGGGTTGGTTTGGGGGGTTTTAAGTTTTTTTTAATCATGAGGCTAGGTATATAACTATAATTCACTTTTGAAGAACTGCAGGAGCTATCAAAAAATTCCTGCTGCAAAATATGCTATAATTCTAGAACTGCTCTAATATAGAAGGTAAGAGGGAGGAAACTGAACCAGATTCTCCTACAGTCTTATAAATAGGAGATACTCAAAGATGTGTGTTTGCACTGCACATATAACAGTCAAGTTTATGTAATGCAAAACAGAATGTGTTACTATTACAC